CTCCTCCACATAGCACTAGTCCACTCGGATGACACTCGAGAAACTGATCTACAATGTCCGTGATATATTCAATTAAGTCGTCTTCCTGGTATTTAGATCTTGGTGGATGATAAATACCACACATCAACATAAACATAAACATCAGGGATATCAGTAGCCTCCCCGCAGACGTCCTTTGGGGTTCGTTTGTCACGCATTGGGGGAGAAATGAATGCGTGACAAGCGAACCCCAAAGGACGTCTGCGGGGAGGCTAGAATATCAGGAATTTAATAGTGGTTTTGCAACATTGCTGCAAAACGAGTTGAATAGCGATGTTGCTCGTTTTACCATCCACGTTCCAACCTATCTCGAAACAGAAAAAAGGTTGCAAGGTTTTCGAGGGTGGTAAAACGGGTAACATCGCTATTCAACTCGTTTTGCAGCAATGTTATTGTTATTGCTCTGGGGCCGGTTGCTCGAAGCCTGGTTAGCGCTAACCGTTGGTTAAGAGGTTTCCATGGTATTTAACGCTGGTTAGCACTAACCATGCTTCGAGCAACCCGAGCCAGGGCAACAATTCATCACAACTGATATATTCTGATGCTCAATTAATTATATTATACTCTCTGCAACGAACATATATTAAAAGTTAATTGTAAAAGTTAATAAACCCCTGCTAGAAAAGAAACTACAACGCACAGTACATATCCTGACGATCTTGAGAAAAAATAGGGGACTGCGAACAGTCAGGGTAATGTCTCCCGCACTCCTTAAACCGTTGCCTCTTATTACTTGAAGAGAGGTGGTCACTAATGGAGATTCGACTGTAGTTAAGCAGTGGACAGGGAGAATGCGTATATTATGGTGTCATCGGCTTACACATGTGGTATACTGAAGACACCCCGGGTGATCATTATTGATGATTAAACACAACAATGGGCCAAAAATTGACGCCTGCGGAACTCCACAACTGATCAACTGGAGTTTAGATACACAGGTCCCTTCTACTCACTGTTGACCATTTGATAGGTACGTGAAAACCAGTCACGCATTGAACCCTTCAGACAGTAGAGCTGAAGCTTTTTCAATTAAATCACAATGTAGAACAGTATGAAGGGCTTTTCGCGAGATCAAGAAGCACAATCAAATTAGTCGCGCCTTTGTCAATGTTAAAATACCAGCTATGTGCAAGAGCCATAGATCTTTCTACTTTATTTACATATTTATACCTCCAATACAATAGCATTTAGTTTTCATTTTATTCCGTGAGACTACCATAGATTAAATTTATAATTCAAAACTTGTCCATTTATCCATTGGTGATCTAGACTCTAAAAATGAAAATGCTGCTCAAAATTTGTGGAGAAGTTGAACAACAGCAGATTGACAGAAAATAGCTAGTCAAAGGCCCGCCGATTCGAAATCTAGACAGCATGGGATGTTCCTTTACATATTTTTCTCTGGGGGAAAAATCGCCACAGCCAAAAGGTACAATTATGAAATAGTAGCATTTGCGAGAAACGTTTTGTGTCGTGAAATCACAATTCTACTTATTAAAATATTTTGTTTGCATAATAATAAATAAGCAAGCGCCACAGTACGTATGACACACTCGATGCAAAGTCACTCGGTGTATTTCTATCTCCACATTTCTGCCAGAAGAAACAATCGCCCTGTTGTTCAAATCGCCGTCACTGAGGTCAGGTGTAAATTCAGACCGAGCACAACCTCCATACAGCAGATCTGTTTATTGTCAGTATAGTTATTGGTCAACAACATGGCGTCTTCAACTATCCCAACAAGGAATCAGTGGTTTAGGATTTACTTGAAATCGCTGTTTCTATCCAAGAGCATATATGAGCATCAGTATCAAGCAGATAGAAATCACACTGGCTAAGATGATTGAGTCCCGACGCTTTCTGACGTTTATGCGTTGAATCAAACTATTAAGTGCCGGGAAACGATCTATAAAGTGCATTAAGGAACCATGAAAATAATAAAAATATAGCAATTTAATTCCATAAATTTTACACAACACGCCACAAAATCAATTTGGATTTAGCACTGCCCCCAAGGAACACGTGAGTATGCTGATCATAAAATTACTGAGCACTATAGATGGATTTTTGCTAATGTAAGCATTCCTATTGTCTCAATCTGCTAATTAAAGATGACCTGCTCATTTCTCACAAAGCATATCCAGTAGAGGAGTTTCTAGCTTCAGATTTACACACGCTGATTATCAAAAAGGATACTAGTCACTGAACCAAGTCGACTGCTCACACCATACAGGACACCTCGCTGACTTTGAAGATTTTCTTTAGTGGCCAGTGCAACTCTACAGTTGAAAAAGAAAAGATGTAACTCTCACACCTCCAAGTGGTCAAATTTAAGAAATTTTCCAGATTTGGCTCTTAGAATGTTGATGATTATGTACCATTGGCGCTTGCCTATCCTATTTTTCTCGCCGATAAAGCTCTAAAGCGTGCAGTTATGTATGCACATTGTTATAGGGAGCTTTTGAGCGTTGCACATTATTCGGAAGTGAGCCATTTTTCCTTCTCATAATATGCTTTAGCACTACCACATTTGTCTTAGAGAGTTTAAGCTTCATCAGGTTTGAGTTGAGAATTTCTCAAAATAGAAAATGACCAGATAAAAACGGCTCAAAACAATTCTTATTGATGAAAAAATGCGTGAAACTACTAATTTGGGTGTAGAAATAATAAACAGTAAACGGCAGATAAAGAGGAAACTTGGTCACGTGGTACAAAAATTCGTGTTTGACGTAAACGTGATGCTTAACCTCTTTATTGCTACGTTTCTTTACTCTTAAAGAAACGATTTGCGCGAACGTTTGGGCGAGACAACTGCCCAACAATGCAAAAAGTCTACCCACTTCCTTTTGACATAGGTCACTCGAAAATGACTTTGCTCAAGCTCACTAAAAAAGCATGATTAAAAAACAAAAATTTTGTTCAAGCTCTTACAAGAACAACCTTGCTGAATTTCACTAAAGAAACATGATTAAACAAGAAGAATTGTGAGCAGGAACTAACAGATCAACGGCCTCATTTGTTTGAATTGTGGAAAAGAGGCAGTTTAGGGCCTCATTTGTACAGTACATATTTTTTATTTTACTTTTCATTTGGAGTATTAACAATATTTCAAGTTTTAAAAGGAAAGCCTCTGCCCACTTTCTTGGAAACACTTCTTAAATCAATCGACTAAATCGAATTACATTTTCCGTAACTGTATAACCCATGTAAACATTTATTGTATATATTTTTATCTTTGTTTATTTCGGCAGAATAGCCCCGCATAGAGGAGTCGTAATAACGTGTATGTATGTATGTGTGTAATACATGATGTAGCAGAGTTCTAATCTGACTGCTTACAAATCCACATAAATAACACCACTGAACATCAATGCAAACTTACCCAATTACATCATCTGCCAGCCGATCAGAGCTAAATGGGATAGAAATGAGTTAGAAGGACAGGCCATGAAAATTTTTATAGAGTGCTATAACTTTCAGTTTGACAGAGGTAATCTTTTATCAATGTTGTGGTTCAATTTTACCTTTGGGTTAAATTCTATTACCCCCTGTTTTGGGGTATGGTAATGTTTGAAAATTAGTATGAAACAATGGAAAATAATACAGTAGAACCCAGTTAAATAATACAGACACCAAGAAGACAAGCCACAGGGTCAGTAATGTATTATCCAAATGCCATGGACACATGTCTTAATTTCTTATCTGTAACTTAAACAAGTTCATCTTAAAAAACCCTCCAGTCATTAAATCATTAGTTTTATCATATTCTCAGACTAAAACTACATTTCAAGCATTTGTCTTGAAATACAACAATAGTATCCATGACTTTGTACTAAGGCTTTTAGTTTGCCAGCCAGGTGGACTGAATTTCATACAGAACGTTTGAAAGGTCAATCACTATTTCTGCTATGTTTTAACTGGTAAGATATTCCGTCACAGAACGTGGGTAGATAATCAGTGCCCGTAAAGCGAGGTTGACAATATATGAGAGTATGTGACTCAGTACAGCAAAGTGTCTGTGGTCCATATTAACTGGTGTCCGTAAAATCAAACCACAGCATTAACATGACCACCTTTAGGGGTGAGTCGCTCATTTTAGCCTGGTTTCCATGTACATGAAATCCCCAGCTAATCACCCAAATCGTCTCAATCATTCCAGTCATCACTAACAAAATAATTGGAACAAGTGAGGCGATGGATACTACATATATCCAGACAATTATGATTATGAAACCAATTCTTTCTAGTTAATCTCCACCAGGACTGAAGTGTTTCAGTCTGATGATTAGCGAGATGATCCTACATCTTATTCTCTTACACTCTACTGCAACTGTTACTCCATGTATTCTTTAGTTCTACTTATAATAAAGTTCAGATATAATGTGTACTCTGATTGGTTGAAAAAGCATGCTTTATGAGAGAATAAGCCCCTTAGGAAGCAGCTGAAGCACTAAAGGAGTTGGGAGAAACACTCGACTACATGTATGTCTCCTGTTTCCCCCTACACTTCTTTCTTTCCTGCGTGCTTTACAACAGAACAGAGCACAGTCAAGGCTTCTTTAATGTACAACAAAACTCACTTTCTTATATGTTCATTTTCCTTGAGATAAAGATCTGTTCTTCTGTTCATCCCAGTCTTATATGCACTAAAGTTAGAAAAAGGTGTAAGATGATGTCTGCAAACTCTAACACAGCATTAATTTATTTTAGTACACAATACTGTGCCTCACAACTAAAATAATTACACCAAAAGTTTTGTTTTTTTCCCTTGGCATTACCCTGTGAGCAGAGGTTTCTCTTGCATGGCTTTTAGTGTTTATGAAGTCCTTTGCATCGCTTGTCAGTCACATGCAAGGTGTATATAACAAACCAACTACGCAACTGACTAGCAACACAAAGAACTTTATAAACACTAAAAGAAATGCAAGACAGAAACCTCCGCTCGCATGGTAATTGGGATTTCCTACTGAATAACATTTCATGAATAACAAGAAGCTTAAAAAACTTGCTTACTTTATATCTCTATGAACAGATCCTAGAAGGTCTTCTCTATCTCTGAATGCTTGGATATTTGCCTAGAACCAAGATAACCATATGTTTTGAAAAGATTTTTGTATAAATTCAGGTTTGTTGCTAAGGTCTGGGGGCAAGGGATTTCCCCCACATCCCCACCTTCTAAAAAATTATCAAATCCTACTAAAATCCTGCTGGTATGTAGAAAAATTATGAAATTAATAACATTTAACTTTTAAAACCTTAGCCTAACACCACGTAAGTTCAGGTCTGAATCCTTGATAGACCACGATTGAGATCAAGATCACAAATTAATCTTCTTCTTAGATCGATTTCCACAAGTCAAAAAATTTTACTTTAGCCACAGCATAAGGTGGCAACACATGTTCAGTTGACCTCATTGCTCAATAATTATAGTGGCAAGAAGTTAAGAGTTTCAATGTAAACATGCTTCCTGTACATTGTACAGACTGTGTAGGCTTACAAAACATGCTTTTTTAATTGGTCCGAGTCCTCCACCATTGTATACTCATTCAAGGAACAACCACACATTTAAAACCTATGTCTTGGAAAACAAAGCAGTACTGTATTTAAGCAGCGCTAGAGTTTGTTCTGTGATGGTTGTGTTAAAATTTCCACTAGTGCTCTGCTTTAAAGTATAAAGTTGAGCATTAGCCAAAATTTTAACAACCAATATGCCACCTTTGTCTTTGAGAACTCATGTGAGTAACCCTGAAGTATGTCCCTGTGTCTTTGAAGCATATGAAGCTGAGTACCATTAGGTTGACCTAAACTGAACCCCGCAGTGTATTCAGCCATTGCATCATTTACTTCTGTCAACTACAAAAAAAGCAAACAAGAAACATTGTACATAACATATTACAAGAGACACACCAAACCATCTTTAGAACTTTTCTATTAATAAATAACTTTTGATGTATGTACAAATTATAAAGATGCATAATTATTTAATTAAGCTTACTTATAAATACAGTGGAACTTCTCCTAAGTGGACACTCCCGGGGCGCAAAAAAATGTCCATAACTAATGCTGGCCTCTTACGAAATGGCCAATTCTATCTCTATTGGCCTAAGTGGCCAATAGAGATGTAAGGGTTAAATGGTCACTTACAGGAGCTTACCCAGCTACAAATAAACATTAAAAATGCAAAAAAAAAATTGTTAGTGTTTGACTATACCGTTGTTCTGATAATGTTGTAAATATTCAGTCACAAGTATAACATTCAAGTGGTGTTTTGAAGTGTAACAAGACATAGATGTGAAAAAAAAAAACACTCTAAGAATCAGAGGTGAATGAGATTTCATTTTAGGAGTCCGCTTATGGATGCTTAAATACACAGCTACAAATCTAATTCGTACATGTAACTGACAGTGTCCACAGCAGCTAATGGGAATGTAAAAAATACAGAGTTTGTATGAGTTGAAAAGGGGTATGGAGAAGGTGGCTGTAAGTAAAGCTGTCCACTTGCGGGAGGGTCTGTTAAGAGAGCTATCACTGTAAATTTGTGTATACCCAGTTCTCTAAGCCAAGGTGGTGTTGTACTCCTCTAAACCTCCTATTGGAAGATTTTTGTTTCTAAAACCTTTCCTTCCCTGTAAAATTCTGATTTATATTCATACTTCCATTGGAGAACTTGTCCTTTAGGAGAATACCAATATTTCCTTTGACTTGCTAAGTAATGTCTAGGGACAGTCTAGATGTGTTTGTGCAGTGGGAGACATGGACAGAGAGGAAATATTGACAATCTTCAAAAACCTTTTTTTTGGTCTTGGCTGCTTTCTTTTCCTATCTAACCATTTACAAAATTGGGACAAGATGGTCCTACAATGAGCGTCCATTTTCATTTTGTCTAGATAGCAGAAAATTCCTTAATTTTGTGTTAAAGTAAAGCCTAGTTTCCATATAAACGCTACAATCCCTACAATCACTGTGATCCTGACAATCGCTGAGAAAAAAGCTCAGCGATTATAGGGATCAAATTGAAACACAATCTCCAGCAATTGTAGTGATTGCAGCGAAAACGATAGAACTTTTTCTATCTCAGAGATCATCATCACCATGATCACTGCAAACGCTACGGTCACTTGAAAGTGGTTTCCACATGATCGCTTCAATGAACTTATTTTTTCACCGATCACAGCTATCGTAACAATCGTAGCCATCATATGGAAACCAGGCCTAAAGGCCATCCATCAATTCATTACACGTTTTAAGTGAAGCATAAAGCATAGCAATGGTTGTGCTACAGGCCAAATTTGATTTCAGTTTGATTTTGATTTAGCCTAGGTTGATTCTCAATTTGTCTCCTAGCTCTAGAAGACAAGGGAAATTGAGAATCAACCTGTGTTAAAAAAATATAACCTGAAATCAAATTTTACCTGTGACAGTTGAATGACAAGGTAAAAAGAGCTGACAGTAATCTTACAGCTATTTCACAGGTATCTTACAAAAAATAAGTGAGCATAGGGAGGATCAAAGGAAAGTACATCATCATAAAACTTAAAAGGGAAAGACAGACCTCTTCACTATCTTCAAAATAGCTGTTAATCTTAAAAGCCATGGTAAGAATGTAACATATTGTGCACCAAACGAAAAAGGACAAGTCTTTTCACGTTCACGTGCGTTGCTCCCAAATGGCAATGCCGGGGAACCGAATTGTGCCTGACAGTGTCAACAATAAGCAACGTCGTCATCTCCGAGCCTAATATATTACTACATCTGAATAAATTGTACATTTTCAGTGTTTTCAAAATAAGCCGTCGGCCGTCGCATCCGACGGCAACTTTTTGATTTGCAACGCCTACTTTCCCTTAGGTAAATTATATGATAAATAAAACTTTTGATAAAAAGTGGTAAGTGTTCACAAAGCTGTTGCGAACAAGCAAACTTGAAATTTTTCTGGAGAATTTCACCAAAACATCGCTTGAGTCTGCTTCTAAAATACGTTCTCTGCGTAATACGTTGAGTGACACGTTGAGGACGAGTCGAAGACTGGGTCTCAGTTACAGGGAACATTGTAGTTAGCGGTTTCTGAAGCCACTCTATATAAAACGCCACATTTCGTCTCCAAGAACACGGTAAAATGGCAGAAAAGCGACAGCGTGGTTTACGGGAGATGTGGTCGCTGACAGTGACAAACAAGAAAAAGAAAAAGGATGCTGCAGGTAATAATGTAATGTTTTCCCGAAGATTACCCAAGCAGATGCCGGTACGCAAACGGAAGAGGAAATAGTTCAAATTGAGGAGAAAGAACAAGAAGAAGTGGTAGCAAAAGTCTTCTGCCTAGATGAAGAGCATGGCGAATCGGACGACAGTGAAGCACATGACAGTGGATGGGAGGATGATGACGATGATAGTGAGGACTAAAAGTCTTTTTCTCAGAAGACAAAGAATCTCCATGTTTCGACTTGTAGATACTACCATATTTCTGCATATTTCACTTCAATTGAATGATGAAGTAGGACTGAACGGTGTTTGTGATCGATAAATAATAAGGATATTCAAAATTGTAAATTTTGTTTGAGTTTAAAACAGTTCGTGTATAGCTTTAGTATGTTTTTGAGCCTTTTCCAGGCATCAAGAGAAGGCCCAGAAAAAATGCTTCTGTCTAGACTGGACAAACAGCTATCCAAGTACATGCATGGGTCTACATTAACAAAGTGTACACAAGTAGCTTTTGTTGGTTATTGAAAATTCAATTACCTTCGCTGTTTCTTAATCACTTTTACTTTTTTCAACCCAAATTATGAACTAATCTTTAATCTTTAATCTAATCTTTAATCATTATTTATACACGGTAAAAAAAAAATCATCAGGTACAATAAATTCCTATACAATGACTAACATACTAAAGCCTTTATCAACTTACAACAATATGCCACACAAAAACCCTGATTGTGGTTAAAGCGTACCCTAATATTGTGGTTAAAGTTACTAAAAGCATCAAAATTTATCAGTATTTTCGATATCTAAAATTTGCTAGTTCTGCGTCTCAAAATGCGGGAAAATGCGTCTCCAAGAGTCTAGAAATTCAAAATTTCCTGGGGGGGGGGGCATGCCACCAGACCCCCCTAGAGAGCAGGGCCCTCCGGGCCTTGCAACTCCTACTCAAATAAACGCAACTCCTACTTCAAAAACTGTTGAAAACCCTGATTTTAACTTTTTATATGCAAATGTAAGGTAATGTTATTCTAAATAAATATTAAGCGAGAGATCTGCGAATGGCCAATAAATCGTTTCCTGAAGAAAATAAAATTTCGATCAGTACTGACCTTGGATAAAAGTTGCTCAATTTCTAGTCCCATGGTATCGAAAAGTCGTTCACTTGAAGAACTGTTAAGTAGCGGCGACGTATCGGAACTGCAATTTATTAACATAAACGCTTGGAGAAACAACTAATGAAACACGCAACTCAATTAATAGCAACCTTACAAGCACCTTTCTCTGAAGCCATTATGATGGCTGTAGGACGTCCCCAATTTGCTAAAGGACACCAGTTTTAGATCAATCTCATTTTCAAGTTGTCTTGCTTTCTTCCTCAATTCTAAACATGACAGAAATAAACCAGAAATTGAAGACAGACGCTTATATCGTAGGAATAACTTAACGGATCTCATAGGTAAAGAGGAATATGGAATAAAACAGGAAAAAACACCAACCTTCCCATTTTAACGGAGTCATCGAGGAAGCCATGTTTTCTGCATCATCGCTCATAACTGCAGCTCGTACTGCATTGTGGGAGGTGATACGTAAACACTTTTGCAGTTACCCGCTGGTCGTATTTTCCTTGACACCGCGGTGAAGAATTCTTAGCCAATCAAAACCCAGCATTGTTCACGGTTCGAAATTTGAATGTGAAGAAAAAATCCTGAAATCTATAAATCAGCTGTGTTTACCTCGTCTACTTTGCTATTTACTGACCAGCGATTCGCAAAAAATGGGGGTGAGTATCAACATACATGTAATGAAAACAGTTCCAAACCAAAGATTGTGTAATTACAATACACTTTCCATTAACGCAAAATTGTCGTCGACTAAGTCAAGCTACCAGCTGTTTTAATTCTTATTCGAAACTATGCACGCCTTAAACATGGATTGATCATTGCTTGCAACATTGAGGACCAAGCTTAAATTTTTCCTGTTAAAATTATTAACGATCCTTAACCAATCCATTGTCAACAGCTTCGAGCTATATCGAGGCAAATGTTTATAAATAAGCAGTACACAGTTTATGGTAAATTTCATTTTATGTCTTACAAACTGATTCCGTTTGTTTAGGTTTTAGAAAATGTAAGTGCAGGCACACAGTCACAAAGGAAGAAGGAAATTTTATTTGGTGACAAGGGAATTCTTAATCTTGAAAGCTCTGATGATCTGACATCGCTTAGTCCTCTGAATGAAGAAACAGGTTTGATCCTTCTGTCGTCTACATGTATTAAAAAGTAATAATTATACCTTCAAATTGAAGAGCCACTCAATCGACAAGAAGGTTTTGTTTAAAATGAAAAGGGGTTTGGAATCCCAGGATACAAAACTTTTATTAGTTAAGCATACATAAGCTTTAAGTTCGGTTCCAGAACTGGATTCGAAACCTCGTAGGATTGAGCAATGCTTTCTTTGCTAAAAGCCTAATACATTTTGATTATTTCCTCCAGCTATCAGGCTGAGACAAAAATAAGACAATCCAGCTTGTCCAAAGGGCATGATTTTTTTCATTTAGTTCCAGTTTTTTAACCAAAACTCTGAGTAATTAGCCCAAAATGAAGGGAAAACTAAAGAAAAAGGTTATCAAACTTCACTCATTGCATTTAAAAATGAACTTGCTTGCCCAAATGGGGACCAGGTTTTCTACAAGCCATATCTGCTAACAACACTGCACGTGATGTCTAGCCAGGTCAGTGTCTCTAGTTTAGGAGTTTTTCAAGTTCTGTGGATCAGAAAGGGTCTCTATTGCACTTCTTGTACTCTCCACAAGCAATTCTGTGATTTTTACATTAAATTAAATTTTTTGATACAACTCATTGTTTTCTAGTAAGTACCGTTTATCACTGTCTACATGTAGCTCAACAAGCAGTTATGTGTCTCCAGTGATTACTATCAATAACTGTTCACACTCTAATGTGATATCTTCTATGATCTGACACGCCCATATCATACTTGCAGTGCTTAATACAGTTGAAGCTCGTTATCAAGTGGGGGCATTCTATTCTTGGGCAGGTACAAAGTGCATTTTTTACTTGACTCCTCAATTTTTCATATCTGCTAGAAAAGTGTCACATTTATAGTTTTGCACTCTGTTATAATCTAATAAGTTACTGCATCCTATGAGAAAAACTATCATGACAATAACAACTGTACATGAATATAAAAAAAAACTGACTGTAGACAGCCAGAATGATATTGTTGGTCACTGGTTTTGGTCATATCATTACAAAAGTTTTCAAATAAATCATACTATTAGGCAGAAATAGAGTTTAAGTACTGTTTAAAAACGAGCAGGAAGGTATTTTCAGGTTTAAAAAGGGGTTATTTTGGTCTAAAATATTGGACATAAAGTTTAGCCGTGTCTTTATCAGATATAAAGACACTAGTTAAACATTTATTTCTTTTGTTGTTGTTTTTTTTTTTAATTATTAATGAGTTTTGGATTGTACACATAGCCATCCCCCTCCTTTTTAATAGTTTTTATACTGTGTGTTAGAACCAAGAAGTAATTAATAAGCATAATGATTGAATCTTTATTTTTGCTGATTAGGTGTACCTCTCATTGCTCTCAATCCATTTAAAGATGTGGAAGAACTTTATGATGAAAAGATCATGACAAAATACAAGGGAGTTAGTCCAGCTGAAATAAAGGTTTGAGCAGTCAACTAGATGATCATTGGATAAATGAATTATTAGAGCCGAATTAAAAGTAGCCTTTTTTAAAAGTAATAACATTATCATGACTAGCAAAGTTAGCCGCAAAGACAATGCTCCTCACACTAGCATCGCCTTTGGTGTGCAGCTCTTGCAATTTCCCCCAAATAGATCAGTTCTTGCTCACAGGCTATTTTGAATTCATAATTGAGCAGTTTTCCTTTCATAGTCCCACTTGCCTGTGCCAGGTTGTATGAGTTGTACGGTAGGGATGTCAAAACAACACGGTCAAGCAAAAAGAAGAGGCCGGTGATCTGGGGAAGGGGATGGTGGTGGGAAACAAAGAGTCTCTTCTCTCCCCACCCCACCTCACATTTTTTGCATTAGATTTCCTGATTGCTGCAAATTTCTTCCTTTGAGCAGGGAACAGGCTGTAGTCCCACCAAAGATTTAATTTGATCAAGAAAATTCTGGGGAATTTTTATCATTTTAAAATTGTTAAATGATGAAAAATGAGGTGGGAATATAAAAATGGTAAAATTGAGCATTTTTGGGTGATTTAAAGTAGGTAAGTTTGAATTGGAAAGTTTATATACAAAGACAGGATAGTCCACCAAGGTCAGTACCCATGTAGAATAACTCCATCTTTCTTTCTTTTTTCACTATCTTTTTTTTCATTTGCCTTCATGACAAATACCTCAAGCATCATGAAATGATATTTTTCATTTGTTTTTACTTTTATCCATATCAATTAAGGAGCTTCCGCCTCATATATTTGCTGTTGGACAGAAAGCGTTTTGTGAAATCAAAAGAGATCTGGAAACCAGGAACCAATCCATTGTTGTCAGTGGTGAAAGTGGTGCTGGCAAGGTCAGTATAGGGATCAGGGACGAGGGAGGGAAGGTGAAGTTTGTCTCCTTCATCATTCTTTCATTTATTGTCAAATCGAATGGGAAATAAAACAGCCCACACTACCGTTTGAAAAGAGTCGGGAAAGTTTTCCCGGTGGTGTACTGGTCTACCTTTCACGCATCATTCATATCATGGGCTATGGATGGGTTACAGTGAGCTCATATATGGACTGATAGCGGCTGCCAGTGCAGTGGCGCCTTTGATGCTGCCGTCCGAGCTTACTGTTTACATGGTAATATATTATATAATGTAAAGAGAGCACGTCTCGTTGTCCTCTAATTCACGACATTCCATTCCGTTCCAACTTGTTCAAGAATATTGATTGTTTTCTTTTTTTCCGAATAGACTTGGACGACTCGTAGTTTAATGCGTTTCATTACGGACGTGGCAGATACCAGGTATGAAGTCTTCGACGTTGACTTAGAGTAAATTGTTAGAATTTTTACAATTCTTCTGAAATGTCATACATCAGCATGCACGATTACGATAAATTACTTACATACATTACTGCCAGTCTAATTGCAAGCTTTCTCTAATTTATCGGCTTTCAATAAGATCCAGCACTAGAAGGGAGTTCCCGCTGGCATCAGCAACGTCACGGTTGCCCTTATTGGTCACTAGAATTGGCTGTCCTGTACAAGAGAAGACGACCAAGAGATCCGTTGAATAATCCAAGTAAATGCGAAAACTGGATGGTTTATTCTGAACAAATAAAAATCCATCCGTTTATCCTAGACAGATTTTGAAGACAATAATCCGTCTCGTGCTACGTCCATTTTTGGAGTCTTTCACCGCACAATTTTAAAACTGCTACAAGCTAAAAATTCTTGCGTGAACTTGGCGTATGAGCGTACAGCTAAAGTCTGGAAAAGAATTTTTTTTATTTTCTTTTTCTGAAATCATTAATTTACTCCTTCAAAATCTCAACGGTTATGCTCCTGTAGCCTGTTATTAAAACTATATGTGTGCAACGAAAAAAACGTTATTCATCGAATCATTGGGGGGAGCAAAGGTGGCGCAGTGGTGAGAGCGCTCGCCTCCCACCAATGTGGCCCGGGTTCGAATCCTGGCGTCGACGCCATATGTGGGTTGAGTTTGTTGTTGGTTCTCTCCCTTGCTCCGAGAGGTTTTTTCTCCGGGTACTCCGCAAAAGGGGAGAGGAATTTTTGGTTGTGAAAGTTTAAGGTTAAGCTAGACCTTGCGTGCCTGTGCAAAGTTGCTCAAGAATACTTGAGGAATCACTAGGCACCCATTTGTTTTTACAATTTACAATTTTTTACAATTTACAATTTACAATTTATTCAGCCCTATATTTTTAACTAAATCTGAAAAGTATTTCGACAAGGTGGCAGCCTTCGTCGTGATTATAGGTATCTCTAGGTTAAATGTAATATTACGATTAACTGTAATTGTTTTGATAGGATTGAGGAAACTACAAACGTTAGCATGATTGAGCAAAGGATACTTGATTCCAGTCCAGTTTTGGAGGCTTTTGGAAACGCTCAGACTCCAAGAAACAAAAACAGCAGTCGGTTTGGAAAATATATTCAACTTCAGTTTGATCGGTGAGTCAGCAAAGCCCAAAGATTAGTATTCTGGGAAGTATGTTCCCCGAATTCCATCGGAAACTCAGAAAAGTCATTGACATATTGTTCTTTCATATTACGCTTCAGCTTCAGATTTATGATATCACAAGAATTTTATTGGTTAATATTATCATGATTTCTTTTTAGTGAGATGTAGTTCTTTTCTTAATGCATAGATCAAATAACTCACTGCTAAATTTTTTAAGCACTGTAAATTAACTTCCAGGAGCCAGAGAATCATTGGCGCTACAGTAAGCACATATCTGTTGGAGAAGACGAGAGTTGTACATCAGGCCCAAGGAGAAGGAAGATTCCACATATTTGACCAGGTGCAAACTTACTGTATTTTTACAGACAGGAGAAAGCAGGTTTTCTCGCGCCAGCCTTGTCATATATCGTTGCGCCCAAAACCTCTCATACAAAGCGCCCAGCCTGGGTTACTTTCATTTAATTATAATATATAGATTTAGCCAGGGCTAAAAGCGAAGCTCTCGATAATATTTATAGTTTGCTCAAACAAAATATAAAATCGTGTAATGCTAAGCGGACATGACAATTAATCTAATCTTAACACTTTAAAAAAACACGGATACAGAGACAATTTCCGCTTTCCGTTTTCGTATTCATTGACTCCTTAGTTGTCTCTGCTTCACAAGACGCGAGTAGCTATGGGTCTTCCCGTCAAAATGACCTTAAGTTGCATTTGGGTTGCCATACCTGTTGATTGAGTTGTTTTAAATTGATATGCCTGTGATGCGGACGGACGGTCGGGCGGGGACTCGGNCTAAAAGCGAAGCTCTCGATAATATTTATAGTTTGCTCAAACAAAATATAAAATCGTGTAATGCTAAGCGGACATGACAATTAATCTAATCTTAACACTTTAAAAAAACACGGATACAGAGACAATTTCCGCTTTCCGTTTTCGTATTCATTGACTCCTTAGTTGTCTCTGCTTCACAAGACGCGAGTAGCTATGGGTCTTCCCGTCAAAATGACCTTAAGTTGCATTTGGGTTGCCATACCTGTTGATTGAGTTGTTTTAAATTGATATGCCTGTGATGCGGACGGACGGTCGGGCGGGGACTCGGCGGGCGGCCGGTCGGTGTACGGTCACGTGATTACCAAATTTTCTCGGATGGGTAGTTTACCACATTTTCTTACCCATGGTGCTCCGCTATAAACACCAATGAAATACCAATTAAGCTTTCGCGCGAAAACATGTTATCTCCAGACGTAAAAAGATCCCCGCTGCTAATGGCTACATAATAAATCGCACTTTTCATATAGCCTTTAAAAATTTTTTCAAAACTCAAAGAGAGATTTCCTATCTCCCCGTGGCCATGTAATATCTTCTATTTTATTATATGGAATCAGAAAATAAAAATTTGACCTTCAACATTATATCTATAACTTCCTAAAGCTTTTCTATGAATAAACCTTGTTTCAGATTACTTCAAGTAAACATCAAGAAGCGACCTTGAAAAACAAAGAATCTTCATTTGTTGGTAATTAAATCGGCGGCTTTCGTTTTCACTTTACATAGTAAATGATTACTGAAATCAAAGTCCTTTTTTGATTTTTTTAAGAGCAGCGAGAGGTCTCAAACGTCGTAACAAATTAATAGGGACCTTAAGATCCGAAGGCTACGTCCGGTCTGCCTAGTCCCTAGGCAGAAGGTCTGGGCTGAAGACGCCGTACAGGGACTAGGCAAGGCGACGGCGACAAGAACGTCAAAAAAGCAAGGCAAAACAGCAACATTGCACGTGTGCCACACCTTTTTTGTATTGCACGACTTCGACGTGAAAATGCCTAATTTTGCGTTTCATGGAGGACGTAAACAAGCCACGACTGGCTGGCAATGTTCAATGTAAAAACGCCTGAATTTTCATTTTATCCTTTCGCCCACATCTTATTTTTTAGCCCTCCAGGAAACAAAACAAGCTTTGGAAAACATAGGAATTGACAATCACCTGCAAAACGAAATATTCAAGGTATAGACTTAAGTTAACTAAGGACTTTCATAAAACACTTTATTCTGTTCTTTTTCTGACTTCCTTTCAACTACTGGAAGTTCAAATTATTGTCTTTCAATTTTCCCTGTTTTCTAGGTTTTGAACGGAGTTCTCCATCTTTGTGATATTGTGTTTTTTGATCCTTTTTCAAATATGACTGAAATTTGTACTGTTACCGACGATCATGATAAAGGTTAGTCTTCGTCTACTCCCTATAGAGTAATCTAGACAAGGAACTACCAAGATATGATAAGAGAGATGAAGTTTTTCACTGTAACAGTTTTTTTCTTTTCGTTTCTCTTCTATTTCTCCGTTCCCCTTTACAAAATTTTCTATTGACCTTCGCACACAGGAGAATCCATTCTGCCCGCGAATACATTTAAGTCCTCAATTTTTCTGAACCTCTTTTTACAGCAATCGCTCGTGTCTGTGAATTACTGGGAACTGAAAGCGAGTGGCTAAAGCGGTGCTTATTCTTAAGAAGAATAACAGCGGGCTCTACAAGAGAGGAGTTTATGAAGAAGTGCTCACCATCCGAATGTGCGGAGAGAAGAGATTGTATGGCTAAAATAATATACTCCAGGTAGAGTTTTTAGCGAACAGAAGCTGTAAGCCTCCTTCCATCTATAAACATCAACTAACTGTTCATGCTGGTAAAATGTTTGAACTTGACTGGACGACTATTTTCTGTTTTTATAAGCAATGCATGCAGCTGTTTGGCTTGTCAATGTCAATCTGGCTAGTATGTGAGAGAAAGGAGCAATTCAATTAACAGCTCCCTCATGATATCGTATTTTTTTTCAAGTGTTTAACCCAAACCAACTTACGCGACTGACAAGCCACGTGAAAAGCTAAAAGCCATGCAAGAAAGACACCGCTACTCGCAGGGCAAAGTGTTTAGTAGTTTTCTGAAAAAGCCCTTTACGTTCCTCACTAGCAAGATGATTTTTTACGATGCAAATCGTTATCCATATTCTAAACGTCCTAATGCATTATCTATCCTAATTTGATGTTTCCTTTGTTCTTTTGTAGATTATTCGACTGGATTGTTGACTTCATAAACTCTTCTATTAAAGCACCTGCAGAGCTAAAGTACTCATTCATAGGTAATAAGGGAATCATCGTTTCTTTTTCGTTTCTAATACTTATTTCTTGAAAAACAAATGATCAAAAATGTATCACCCAAACAAACCTTTATTATGTCAAAATGATTTTTTTTGTCTAGTCTCTCTTCAGTAATGTTCAAATGCTCAATTATGTTGCAGGTCTTCTTGATATATACGGATTTGAAAACTTCAACTTTAACAGTTTAGAGCAGTTGTGTATAAACTACGCCAACGAAAAGCTCCAGCAACATTTCGTGAATCACTTCATGAAGAGACAGCAGGTTAGTTGTTATCATGTTGCTGAATAAGAAACAAAAGTATTTTTACTGACTAGGTTAGAAATAACCGAGTATGCGAAGCGCAAGTTCCGCGGGCGCCACATAATTTTTGATCACAAGAAAATCCTCAAAACCTGTCAGTATTTTCTTGGTAACGATACGCTTTAGTATGTGCGGTCCTTTCGTTCAATGACGGGGACGTCAAAAACGCAACAGATCGAGGGTGGATTCATCTGGAGCATATATACGCGTATAGCTGTCGCATTTGCCAACTGGGATTTTTTGTATCGTTTTTAGGCTTAAAAACAATTAAAAATACCAGCAGGCAAATGCGACAGCTATACGCGTATGTTGCAAATGAATCCACCCCGAATAACCAAAACTACGTACAACTCCGCTCACGTGCATCATGCTTTTTGGTATATTTCGTCGCTGTCACTGCCAACTACAGCCAAGCTCGTTCCCAGGGTTCTCTCCTACCCGCCCTACGGAGCGAGAGAGAGGGTGGGTAGGAAAGAACCCTGGAACGAGGTTGAACTACAGCGTGAAACTTTCCAACGTGACGTATTATAGAAGACGTTAACACTCGACGACAAATTTTTCTTTCTATTTTATACTCTGATGTGCTCCCTTAAAATTCAGCTCCAGGAAAACTCACCTTGAAATAACCGTCATAAGTTTTGAAAGAACGCGGATACACTTAATAGAGACCTTATAAGATACACCGTTTCCTTGTACGGCTACGACGGGTAGATTGCCTCTTGCCCCGGAGAAACGGGTAGGCTACCGGCGGGGTAGAACGGTAACGCCATTTTCACATCTGGAAAATCCTGGTTGCCTATCATATAACTACGTGGCAAACATGTTCGCCTACCCGTACCAGTGGACTGAAACGGTGTATCTTAAGGTCACTAATAAATGACGTCTCCGTTACGTACTGTCAGGCGTTCTAGTGGTTTCCTATATTTCCCAGTGCCTCTACTTTTTTAATCTTTGACGCCATTTAGGTAGAAGTTACTGCTAAAGAAGTTTGGCAGCCGCCTGTAACTGTATCTTTCTAGTAACATTGTAAGGCTTGTAGCAAGCAAACGTATTGGTGACCTCATGGTCTGACTCTCAGTAAAGCCTTTTAAGTTGAATCATACCTTTTATCTCGGTACGTAATATCTACCTTATTTTAAGAGGGTGCGACATATTGCTAAATGGTCCAGCACTTCTTTTGCTAAAATAAGAATAAATACGGTTAATTGCGCAAAACATAGGGCACTATAAAATGAGTTCAAACGGCGGGTGGCCTGGCGATGCTGGCGCAGACAGTTAGATTTCTGAGCCCTTAATTCGTGTAAAACGGTGTTGATTTGGTGCTTATCTCTGCTATAGGAGGAGTATCAGAAGGAAGGCATTGACTGGTCGTTTCAAGATTTTGTTGATAATCGGCCATGTTTGGATCTCATTGAAGGAAGAACCAGTGTCTTTTCATTAATGAACGAGGTAAAAAAAGTTGTGTCGATACTGAAATAGAGAAACCGCCCCTCCTCGCACGCGCTTCATTTCCATTGAGAAAGCAAGACTAGAAAAATTAAATAAAGAGACCACCTCCCCCCCCCCCCCCCCCCCCCAGCCCGGTTCGAAAGGTCAGGAAATTTGGATTTAGTTTTTAAAATCCTGATTTCAGATTTGCAATAAAACGCGAAATCCGTAGTGGGTTTCCTTTCTTTCCATTTTTATGGGGAATCCGAAAAAGGATTTGAAAAACTGTTCGCAAGAACAGCGGTCTCACACGCGCACACATAATTAGCAGACCACTGTTCACGAGAACAGTTTTTTGGATTTCCCGATAATACAATAGAATTTCTCGAAGATGAAGTCTGTTTTCGTATTGCAAAATCCGAAATCGGGATTTCAAAATCTGACTTATCCAGATTTGCCAATCGAACGCACCCTAAGTTATTTACCAAACAGCGCTGCATCATATCCAAAGCCTCCTAATCTTCAGTGTGAGGCGTCCTAAGATAAGGACGCCAGCAAGCTCTCAGAATTAACGACGCGTTTAATTAGCTTAAACGAAAAAAATAGATGAATGAACCTACCAATGTCCGTAGCATTAAAAAAAATTCCCTGTTCTCTTGCGCATTATAGATGTGTCGCATGCATGTGTCGCATGCAGCTTGCGACATTTCGTCGTTCTGTGTTGTTGGCGACCCTTTTGACTGTAAAATATGTTTTGAACTGAAGGACCTAGGAGGAGTTGAACCGGCCTCTTGGCTGGGCGTTGAGCAGACACTTGTAGGTTTGAACGAACATTTGGCAGGACCTCCCAACTAATTTAAAAAACTCTAGTGTGTCTGCATTTCCAAAGAAAATGATACGCTTTCTACTGTCAGAGCAACGTGAAATGAAATAATTTTTCCCCTTGTTGATGAAGCAACATAGTTCATGTAAATAGAAGTTCTTCCTACTTTGTTTTGTATGTCCTTTGATTTTACCTGCTAGCAAGAACCTAAATTGTTCAGCGAGCTAAAAAGAAAACCAACTGGTTCATTTAGCTTCCTAGCTTGCACATTATTCTCGTTACATTTAATATAATATCCTGTAATGTAATTAAATTTCTTAGAATGCAATATTAACCATATACATTAACAAAGCATAATAAAGATTATTATTATTATTATTATAATCATAACTATAACAAAATTGTAAAATCTGATTGGCTATCAACTGCCCTGATTTCAGCCTTAATTGGACAGTTTAATAGGACAGTACGCGTCATGCCTAAGTAATTGGACAGTACGCGCCATCACGCGCGCTTAAATGCCTTTTTTTTCACGGCTAGCAAAACAAAATTTCCAATTTCTTGTGTTTTGATTTAAAAAATAGCCTATTATGTCACAAATTTTGTTAAAGTTATGATTAATTGGTAACAGGACTGAGTGGAGTCCAATTCGGTCTGTAATCATACGAGTGATTAAACAAATCGGACTCCCGCTAAGCGGTCGTCTGATTTTGTTAATCACTCACCGAATTGGACTCCACTCAGTCCTGTTACCATTACAATAATAATAATAATAATAATAATAATAATAATAATAATAATAATAATAATAATAATAATAGTTCCATTAGTGGAAGGGGCCTTGAGAAGCGATCTTAACTCTATTAAATTGTCAGTGTGTGAAGCCTATATGAGGAAACAATGTTACAGCGAGAAAATAAGGCTGGCATTTCAGGGAATGAAGGATCTTCAAGTTACAGAGCGCGTGTCGCCTTACCATCACAGGAATACCAAAGTATTACTTTATTCTCAGGAGTGTCGCTTAAAGAGAGAGTTGGACACAAAATCGTTTAGCACACGCCTGGAAGCTTCATTGGCTCAGTTCAGGCATTTTACCTGCCCGCGGTTTAGGAGTGAAAATGAGGAGTTTACGATTCATCATTTTGCCGACAGCGTCTCTTATCAAGTCGAAGGACTTGTTAAGAAAAATAAGGTACGTACTTATTCCTTAAGTAAATAAACTCTTGAAGAAATTCATTAGGTAAAATAAAGCTAAGTGTGTATAATCAGACCTGTTACTTTGTTTGTGCGAGGAAAACTATTCATTCCTTATATTTACTACAGTTGTTCAAGGAATCGATCATAGAACGACAACGTTTTCTTGAATTACTCGCAAAATCCGACGACATCATGAGGATTTGAAAGAACTTTCCGAACGCCATTGCCGGGCAACCAAACATCAAGAAAGATGACAGCAGTTTGTTTAGCGTTGTTTATTCTCTTAAGGCCGTTGAACACTCACTATGGTTGGGATTTCTTTTCCAGTTGTCAGTTTTCTTATAAATTGCCCAGAATTAAGCAACACACCTAGAACCGCTATGCCGCCCGTTGAAAAACTGAGCATTATAATAAGTACATGTAGAAAATAGCCTTCTGGGAGATGAATTACCAAATGCAGGCAAAATTGAACCGCAACGTTTATCCACCGTGACATATAAGATTGTAACTCATCGCACTCTCAAATTTTCATTTCTTTCTGTCGACGCCTCAAAGGATTTTATTCCTCCTGAGGTTGTTGAGCTTCTACAAAAAAGCACGAACACGTTGATCCAGGAACTTTTTCGATTCCAAGAGAACCAGGACAAAGGAGATGGAAAATTTGAGGTAAGTTTCTTGTTTTTGAAAGGGAAGCATTTGTTGAGATCCTTTAAACATATGAACCGTCAGTATATCTTTCATGTAACGCTAAAGGTATAAGATGAACTCTAAAGGTTATCATATGCACGTTACACTTTAACGGGTATCTATCCACGCTATTAGCTGTCATTTGAAAAAGCTAAAACTTTCGTCGCATCAAAAGAAATTTGGGGAGCGAGGGATGGCACAGTGGTGAGAGTACTTGCCTCCCACCAATGTGGCCCGAGTTCGAATCCTGGCGTCGACGCTATATGTGAGTTGAGTTTGTTGTTGGTTCTCTCCCTTGCTCCGAGTGGTTTGTCTCTGGGTACTCCGGTGTTCCCCTCTCCTTAAAAACCAACAACACTTCCAAATTCCAAATCGACCTGGAACGCACGGACACGTTTCAGCGAGTTCTTATGAACTCCTAAGTACCCCGTGGGTAAACAAATAACAATTGTCAAAATAATGGTCCAGTTTTGTTATTTAAGACTATATTTAGGCACATTGAAACTGTTTCCTGTCGACTGTTGATACGGATAGCAAGGATGGAAGTGGATTGAGACTAAAAAAAGGGTTGGGCAAACCTTTTCAAGTTTTAATGCAAAATGTGCAAAACTCACAAAGTATATATTATGGTTAGTGTCCCTGATGAAATCTGTTTAATATCTTCTTCATAACTCTACAGGAACATTTTTTTAATGGGTAAAGGTTCTAAGTAATGACTTAAGCACAGACTTGACCTAAAACAGCAATATCCATGTGACAAAGCCACTTTAAATTGTTGACAAACTTTTTAGGGAGCAAGGGTGGCGCAGTGGTGAGAGCACTCGCCTCAAACCAATGTGGCCTGGGTTCAAAACCCCGCGTCGACGCCATATGTGGGTTGAGTTTGTTGTTGGTTCTATCCCTTGCTCCGAGAGGTTTGTCTCCGGGTACTCCGGTTTTCCCCTCTCCTCAAAAACCAACAACACTTCCAAATTCCAATTAGATCTTGAACGCACGGACACGTTTAAACGAGTTCTTATGAACTCCTAAGTGCTTTCGTGGGTAAAAAAGTAATTCAATTTTATTTTTTTTTATTTAAGCATATACGCAGGAGTTCACCCCGTCACCTATAGATTGAAATCTTCGATCTCTCGCTTGGCGAAAAGTTGAGCTTTTTTAAAAGGATACAAGAAAAATAAACTTTATCAAATGTTTAAAAAAAATCCATGAGAATCATCATACTTTACGATTTAAAAGGGAAAGCAATGGAACTGAGAAACTGTGAACATCTTCAGGAACTTTCAGACTCGGATATGTCGGGTCCTTTACAAAAAATCCTAGTGCTCTCACTCTTCGGGAAAATCTCCCGCCATTGACACGCAAGAAGTTGGCAGGTATATATTTGAGGAAACTTACATGTAAGATGTAACTCAACGGTCAGTCTTTCACTTTATTACAGGACGGAGTAATGACAACTAAGGAGAGTTCCAGACATCGCCAGTCGACAGTTACTGTTGTTCGCAAATTCAAGGTACACTGACGGCGGCTCAGTTAAGTTTCCAAGTGTGCCCACCTCCCCGGGCATCCGTCGGGCATTTTCCCACTGTGGGGCATTTGTCATCGGATCTACCCAAGGGTAGGGATGGGGATTAGGCCATTTCCGAGTTGCTCAAAGCTTCTGTTTCAAAGAGAGGCTAAGTGCAATGATATTCAATTCTCATGCCAATAAATCTAATTTTCACGAGGAACGTTTTGCACTTAGCTTCGAAAGGGAGATATTTTGGAACTCGGAAAAGGCCTATTTGTCATTGTTTTCTTCAAACCCAAATACTTTGAGTATTATGCATGACCAGCTTGTCCCACCGTGACAAATATCCGGGAGGGGGCCGGGGGTCAACACTTGATACTGAGGGACCGTTGTGTTCTGGCCTAGTATGATGTGCTGATTATGACTTGTTGAATGTTCTTTTATGTTTAGGTCTCACTGGACAGTCTAATGTCCACGCTGAGGTCTACAAATGTTCACTACATTCGCTGCATCAAGCCAAACTCTGACTGCCTGCCTCAGGTGTTTGATAGGAAACAGGTATTTTGCAGCCCTGCACTAGGGTTTTCCAGTTACTAGTACTACATGCATTAGCCCCTGTTTGCCTGTTCTTCTTACGCAGTTAGATAAAACCGAACTGACTCTAAAGCGTAGGTTAAATAGCCTGCGACCCAGACGGAACTAAACTTCCGGTTAAGTCCTTCTGCAAAACAGTGCCGAAATCCTTTTTCAGTTGGGCCCCCCCACCAGTGCACCAGGGTTTGAGTGCGCGCTATGATTGGCCTGGTAAAAGGCCATTGCTGATTTGCCAATCAGGTTGAACGAAAATTCGAAATGCTCCGGTAATTCGTTGAGGCCGTTGTAGACCCAAAACAAGGATACCGGCGCTGCTTGGCAGAACTTACTAACCGGGCTGAGATTACGTTTGCGAAGCAGGCCCTGACTCGTCCCCAGTTGTCTCTCTTTGTATTTTCTTAGTGGCGCGAGAGGTGTGATGGGAAGGAGGAAAGCGAGGGAGAGAGAGAGAGAGGGTCTTCCTTCCTTTTCCCTTCCCATCACCCCCTGCTTCCGCTGCGCGCGTTACGCGAAGACCACTGGTGAAAGTCAGACGTAGACGCTGGCCAAGATTGAACCGTAGACACATTTATCTCGGGGTTTCATTGTATCATGTTTCATAATGGTAGGCTAAGTTAGAACGAGTTGACGAGAGCTAGTTTAGCTCTGTTTGACTGCAACTACTGTTTACACTTATATCCATCTAAAAAGGTTATGGCTCAACTGAATGCTTGCGGTGTGGTAGAGACAATTAAAATCAGCGCGGCTACTTATCCAATCAGGTGAGTCAATTACTTGACTAGGTGTTTTAATCGCGAAAAATAACTTTAAACCTCCAAGCGGGATGTCTCAAGCTAACCTAAGTTTAATGTTTGTACTTCTAGGATCTCGCACCATGAATTTCTTAAAAGATACAGCCCCCTTTTGAAACTTTCCAACCATACGACACGCAGCCATTTGTCACATCCGCTCAGCTCTCCGAAGAAAGCCGACGCTTCTCCACGATGTCCGACGGTGGAACGTCTAAAGCGTCGATCTCGTAGGCGTCACCGAAGTAGCTACGACCACACGAGGCATATTTGCCGATCAATTCTAGAAACTGCTGAGACTGACATTGATGAAAGCAAAGAAAATACCGAAGGAAAATTTCTCAAGGGTGTGAAACTCGGGAGATCGAAGGTTTTTATGCAAGAAGATACGGTACGTTTTGGGGGTGTCCAACCCCATATTACCTTTTATTAAAGTAGAATCTACAATGATTATCTTAAATTTGCATTATTCATCACTCAGGTAGAGGGAATAACGGTGATATTTCATTTTTCGACTACAGTCAACTCTCTGTTGGTGAAGGACACTAATTTGGGATTGACACTTAAGTATCCTAGCCCTTAGAGAGTCGACAAAGAGACATGGTCCACAGGTCAGGAAAAAGTCGGAGGATTTCACTCCGAGTCAGGGAAAATTTGAGCCTTTGAAGGAGGTCAGGGAGAAGTGAAATTTTAAGAGTACACAGTCATTCTTTTCCCTCTACCTTTACTGTTATCTTACATTTAAAATTCTTTTGTAAATTTTACAGGCATGAATGGTGTTGCATTGGTAGAATATTGTTCGTGAAGTTGAACAACATCCCTTTTGCACGTTATGATAAGGCCATTCCTATATCAGTTCATGTACACTACATGTGACTTGCTGTAAGCATAAATAAGGGAGTATAGGGGATGGCTTTGAGGGAAGGGTTGAGTCTATTTTCAGGACTAATTGGTGAAATTGCGTTAATTCGGTTAAGGAAATTTTACATTTGTCAGGAAAAAGTCAGGGAATAGTCAGCGGTATGGACCAACTCTAAGCGTTCCTCTTATAGAGGTGTCCGTTGAGAGAGAAAGTCAACTGTGTTTCATGGAAATCACATTTCAACTAGAGAACAATGTACATAGATTAGCTTAGATTATTCTCTCTTGACAATTTCAAGCAAAGAGCTAGTTTACTTTTTTTGTGTGAATCCGACCGTTTGGATGATCAACTAGTAATTGCTTCTTTTTGCTTGTTCTTAACTATTAACTGACTTGTTGTTGTTGTTGTTGTTGTTGTTTTGTTATCATTACCACTATTTTTCCCTGTTTTTAGATGGAAAGGCTGGAAGCAGTTCGAAACAGGTGCCTGATCAAATCAGTGGTAGTTATCCAGAAATGTTGGAGACGCCATCAAAAGCGCTTAACGAGAAGGAGGGTAAACGCAGCCGTGAAAATTCAATCTGGTAAAAGTTACCATTTTATGTACCACGACGGATTTACCCTTGAAGTTGGTTAAATAATGAAAATGTCAGTGTCTGCATAAATTTATATCAGTTACATAAATACGCCTCCTTACATTTAACGTTAGTGTTTTCATTAGTCGTTTCTCTCTTCTACAAGCAGTCTGACAGAAATTATTTCCTTTTCAGTGTGGCGAGGGTGGAAGGCAATCAAAAACTTCAAGAAGACTTTAAAAGCCATAAAAGTTATTCAAAACCACGCGAGAAAATGTTTGATGTTAAAACGACTCAGTGACTATAAGCGCCTTTTAACAGAGGACAACTATAACCAGGAGAAAGACTTTATCAACGAAACCATCCTCGAGAGAAACTCTGTCTTGACAGAAAATACTGGTATACTCTTAAGACAATTGTCAGTTTCGCCGTTATTCTCAAGTGGCGAAGTCACAAAGCGGCATGCCCTTCCAAGTTTAGTTTCGTCTACTTCAGGATCTTGGTTTAACCCGTTTAAGACGAATTGCGACGAGTTTAGTCAAAACAGCTTCTTCTGGCTCTACAACAAGGAATTGTCATGCAATTTGACCAGAAACACGATAAGCCCTCTCGCTGTGTTGATCTCTAACTTCAGTCAAGGAAAAATACCACCACTAGTTTGTACCGTGGACAAACAGCTTTCTTCAAAGCAGATGGTCAATACATCATCAGCTATAATATCACGTCGAGACATTGAAAAGGTAATGCCTTTGCTAATTTCGTTTCCATCCTGTTTCAAGATATTCTGCCGTCTATATGCTATTTTCTTTTCGTACAAGTTAACCTACGTTAAGATGCCACTGTTCGTCTAGAGAAAAAACGTTCCACCTTCTTTAAAAGAAGGTTATTGTAAAGGCCCCCTTATTTTACGTCTGTCGGCTCAAGATAGTCACTGATTATCAGACTAACAAGCCTAAAGCCAACTGAGCACTAATTTTCCTCCTTCCCCCTCTCTCTCCATCACTGCTCTGTTTTACAGGTATTTTAACGCCACTTAAAGCTACACAGAAGCAGTCGAAACAAGGATTTGAGGTTGCACCAGGGAATCAAACTCGGGACCTCTCTCGCACCCGACTGTGCCCAGTTCTTGCTCTCTGGGAGATGTGAAAGCAAGCAGCCAATCAGTTAGACTGTATATCATTTACTCATTTTTTTTCTTCGATGAACGAGCGAATTGACGCGAGTGTCAGCGGAGCCGTACGGGCCAGCACCTAGCTGGCGAGCCTTGAATTCTCTACCAGCCCATGATTATACTTTATCTTTTCTTATCTCGCGCCCCTGTCCCACTCCTCGTAGCAAAGGCGAGCAAGCTCACTTGTTCAGGGTAGCGCGAGGGTATCTCCCTGTGCCAGAGCTGGAGAACACTCCTCTGACAGGCAACGTTAAGTACATTCTAAGAAATGGTTATATCATTCAAATTTTTCAGGTTCCTGTTACGTTTCACTGCAGAGGTACCCCTCTTCCGCATGCCAGCACCAGACCTCTTAAAGGAGCTTTGACTAACACGGTAAATAATAAACTAACATGTACCCCGATAAATACAAGACTAAAATTTTCCAAAAGGAAACAGTCACCTTGACCGCAAGTTGATCCGACTGGGATCCGCATTGAGCGCTTTGTCTCTGGCTAAGCTCCATAATCAGTTTTTTTCTCTAACCTTAGGCAAAATAAAAATGTAGTATATGAAATAGCCTTCTACCCACAGACTGAACTACCAAGTTGAATGCCCTTCGCCTCTTAATCTCACACACCAAGCATTAAAATCTTTTTTTTTGTAAGAATATGTTTTAAACTACACGTACTGATTTACTTTACGATTATGTATGTGTGAGAGCGAAGTGCGCAACTTCTGCTGCCAAGTGGCGTGGCCGACTAAATTGAATATAGAGAGTTGGTACGAGGTTCCTTTACAGAGGCCCGAAAAGTCTTTCACATTGTTGGAAACACTTTCAGTTGGTTGAAACACTAAAAAGCAGTGTCATTGGGAGTGAAAGGCAAACCCAAGGATATTAATTCCTGAAAAAAGTAGAGAACAAGGGATCAAATTCCAGGCGAAATGGCGGTCATAAAAACGCCCAATACCCGGGCGCGACAACCAACAGCACTAGCCATAATGGTAACTGTCATAGTCCAGCTCCCTCTTCTGCCCATCAAGTCAAGCAGACTTATTATTATCATTACCATTATTATTATAATTATCATTATTATTAGGATTATCATTATTATTATTAGGATTAGTAGGGGCTTGAAATCTATAAGGAACTAGCGCGATTTTAGTCTTAATACTTTTAATATTTATCACATTTAGTATTAGTATTTTTTTTATTCTTCTCCTAATATTCCTAATATTCTTATTCTCTTCCATTTACTAGTTTGTTCTGCATTTTATATAGCTTTCCTCTTATCGACTTTGTAACATTCATCTGGTACCCGATATATTTGCAGGCTTCCGATATTCAGGCGTGTGGCATGGTATAGTAACATTAGAAAAAAATATATATTATTTATTATTATACCGTAATTGTTATCATTTTCTTTTGCAGGGGTTAGCTGGTATCAGTGACATGATAGATTGAGTGTGGCTCCAAGACAGTACATGGGTGACCAAATTCGTAAAACTGAAAATGAAATGAAAAAGGAAAATTTGCAACCGTAAGGTGTAAGCGTCGTTTCAAACTGGACAAGAAAAAATAACCGAAATTAAAGAAATATAAGAGTAAACGTAAATTAGAACTCCTCGAGCGTGCATAAGTCGAAAGGACTGTTTCAAGTCTTAAAAGTAACAAAGATTTTGATAAAAACAGAAAAGCTTCATTTAAATCAACTTCCCATTTCGTTTCTTGGGCTCTTCCTCTTATTCTTTCCTCTACTAGTCATTGGTACCAACTTGGGAGCGACAAATTGCCTTGTTTAAGCTCGAATGAGGTCGACGTCCTCGTTATGGTCTTCGTTAAATTAAGGAGCTAAGTCGCTAGCGTCAAGGGTAATTTATTTGGAGGTTTCATTAAAAGGGTAAAAATGGTCGAAAACGTTTTACTATTTATGTCAGTGTCCATTGTTTACATGGAAGTTTCCCCGAAACGGGTTTCAAGTTTTTTCTTCCCCTTGGGCAATTTATCGCTGGGTAACCGCAAACATGAAAATGATCCAAATCCACAGGGAGCTCAACCCAAGCTTGTTTCCCCAAGAGGGAGAGGGAGTAACCACACCTATGTATATTCTCTAACATGTAGTTGCAATCAGATAAAACCTTGGGCTTTTTTTCACAAATCTAAGTCATTTATACCTAAATTTTTCTGTTGCTGAAGGGCAGCGAGCAAGTATTTTGCCACCCTTTCGAATAAATGAGGATGTATTTGGTTATAAAACGCGTAAATAATGAGAAAATATATATGCAAATAAAGCTAGAAAGTCACGTTTTTTGGGTACTGTTCATCAATTTCTTGGTCCCGAAACCTATCTCGTAATACTATCATAAGTCACCAATAATCATCCTAAGTCTAGTATTTGAATCGTCACTGAAACGAATTCGCTTTCTACTTTAAAATATTCTCTATCTGCCATCTTGACAGAAGGCGGGAAATGAATTACCTCGATTTGGTGAGCGTCCGTGATTTGACGACTGCTAGTC